CTAAAATTTTTAGCTGAATCAATAAATAAAAAATTTGAACGAAGTTACCTCTTGTGTATATTGAATAGTTGGACGTGAGTGTGAATGTTAATATTTTCTTCAACCCGCATCCTACATATATATGTAAGGTGAATTTTTTTTTCGACGACGACGAAATGATATTGATATACGTTAAGTGAAAAAAAGAAATGAAAAAAACACACACATATTACTACATAAAAATTGATCATCAAATCAATTATGTAGGGTTACGTGTTGAACATATCAATTCACGTATGTGGAATGATTGATAAAAAATCAATCAATCAACCATAGGGTATATAAAAACATCGATGCATCATCATAAAACATTACATTTGTGTTTTCTCAATATGATGCATTACAATGTAATTATATACCCGGATACATTATTTATTATTATATTATTTACAATGATAATGATATTATTATATCTTAAATAAGGTAAATTACTTTTTCTTTATATTTAACAATATTTTTTTTAGATGAACTACAATACAATATTGAGAGGTAGGAAAAAAAATTTTTTTTTTACATGCTGAGTTGAGTTGAGATAACTTATATCGAGAAAAAATCAATACTGTCAGTTATTTATGAGTATGAGTATGAGTTTATTTGAGATGAGTTGAGTTGAGTTATCAATGTGGGTCAGATAGCTACGTTGTCTGATTCAATAGGCAGAGGAACTTTGCCATAGCGAAGCAGTGTAGCACTAGGGAAGGCCTCTATGTGTCGTTGGTCTCTACCGTTCATACGGCATACCTTCGGCCATTGCCCTACCAGTCCGGCGTGGTCCGCCTGTGGTACCTATGGCATTGACAAGGGATCTCTCCCTTGTCACGCGCGCGCGGGTAAGCCAAAATGAGCCGAGAAAAATCGCAACGATTAGCAATGTGAATAAATTTATTGAGCAAGCGAAAAAAAAATTACAGTTACATTTTCTTTTTAACATAGTCAATGTTATCTTTCGTTTCTTTAATTTGAGGATGTGTTGGCGGAAGTGATTTTTGACGGATAACAAGTGCCTTTTCTAAGAATGAGAGTGCTTTTGAGTAGTCACCCATGTTGTTATACACGTGACCGATGTTGTTGTAGGATTGAGCCAAATCGGGATGATTCGAAGGCAGAGCTTTTTCTCTTACTTTAAGTGATTTTTCGTGAAATTCAAGTGCTTGCGAGTAGTCACCCATGTTGTCATACACTAGACCGATGTTATTGTAGGAAGTAGCCAATGAGGGATGATTCGGAGGCAGAGCTTTTTCTTTAATTTTATGTGATTTTTCGTAAAATTCAAGTGCTTTCGAGTAGTCACCCATGTTGTCATACGCTCCACCGATGTTGTTGTAGGAAGTAGCCAACAAGGGATGATTCGGAGGCAGAGCTTTTTCGTAGATTTTATGTGCTTTTTCGTAAAATTCAAGTGCTTTCGAGTAGTCACCCATGTTGTCATACACTCCACCGATGTTATTGTAGGAAGTAGCCAAATCGGGATGATTCGAAGGCAGAGCTTTTTTCGTGATTTCGAGATCTTTTTCGTAAAATTCAAGTGCTTTCGAGTAGTCACCCATGTTCTTATACACGAGACCGATGTTGTTGTAGGAAGTAGCCAATAAGGGATGATTCGGAGGCAGAGCTTTTTCGTAGATTTTAAGTGCGTTTTTGTAAAATTCAAGTGCTTTCGAGTAGTCACCCATGTGGTAATACACTGCACTGATGTTGTTGTAGGACAGAGCCAAATCCGGATCATCAGGAGATAAAGCTTTTTCTTTTATTTTAATTGTTTTTTTGTAGAATTCCACTGCTTTCGAGTAGTCACCCATGTTGTCATACACGAGACCGATGTTGTTGTAGCTACTAGCTAATGAAGGGTGATCTTCTGGAAGAGTTCTTCGATAGATTTCGAGGGACTTTTCGTAAAATGAAGCTGCTTCTGTATATTGCCCTTGCCTATGTTTCACCCCTCCAAGCTGGTTATAGATATGTGCTTTACCGCTGTCGTTAGAAGCCTGTTCTAGTAGTGCCATGTACAATTCTTCGGCCTTGTCAAATTGACCAATTTTGAGCAGTAAGTGACCCATTCGATACCATCCAGTGCCGTTGACCTCTTGTCGTATATGGTTGGTTAATTGACGAAGTTGTTGATCATCATCTGAGGTAAGTTTAAGATCCACTTCATAAAGTGGACTTTTCTTATCAAGTTTTCGAATGTCACCAATTCGAAAAACGGTATGCATGGAGAAAAGAATTTCCTTTTCGCCTTTGTAATAACTCACCTCCTCGATGGAGGCGAAAGGAGTCGTTGAAATTGTAGGATCAATAATTATTTGAAACAGAATACCGACCATATTGGTTGAGCGTAAAGCGTTGTTGACGAATTTAATTGAGACATCACGATTTTTGCTGGTAGATAAAAAGTTGTTAAAAGAAATAAGCCCGCCTTTATTATTTGCGAGCTTTTCAAAATCTTCTTTCGAGAAACCTTGTCCTCGAAAGACTGTAAAGACTTTCCCATGATATTGACTGACCTGTTCTTTGTGCAAATGTTCAATTTGTCGATGTATATCACATAAAA